CTCGCTGCCGCTGCCTCCCCCTCCCGGCCTGCGCTCCTGTGCCCTGCTCCCCCACCCGCCCGCTGCCTGCTCAGGATTGTGTCCCTGGGATCGTGAGCTGTGGCTTAAAATCCCCTTCCTCCCTGTGTCTTGGGTGTGCTCGGTGTGTGTCTTTTTCCCGCGTGTGCGTGAGGATGCTGGGGGCTGTGCTGGCATGAACTTGGGGAGGAGTGCTCTCCCCCCCCCCCAGAAAACTCTGTTTCTGTGTTTGTTGTTGTTTTTCATTCCACTCTTCCCTCCACCTCTTCAGACCCTTTATTGTAAATGGGGGAGGGCCGGGGGTTGGAGTCCCCTGAACCGCAGACTCCTCGCTGCCACCATCCTAAGCTTGGAAAAAGAGGAGTGAGATTTATTGCACTTGTAGGTCTAATTAGGGGGGAAGGGGGGCTTCTGGCCCGTTCACTGGTTCCCTCTCCTCTTCACGGAGCTGGGGCCGCCTCCTCCAGAGCTGTGGCCTTGTTTTCACCCCTCTACTTTGAAAGGAAAGTTTGTGACTGAACCGTGCTTTCATAGTTGTGTCATTTTTTTTAAAGCATGATACTCGTTTTATTTCTTCATCAAACTCCACCCTCTGCTTAAATACTGCATACAAATTACAATTTACAACGGCATTTACCGAGATCCTTCTGATTTGGCCATAATGCACAGACTGCAGCTGGCATGAGCTTCCACATCATTTAATCCCTGTGTTGTATGGGTTTTTTTTTTTATTTATTTAAAAAAACCCGCAACTTTGGATGCTGTATTTGGATATGCTTCATGTTCATGTAGCAAGAGATGCAGTACTTTTCTTATAAATATATTTAGCCATTTACAGTTAAAGTTTATCTCCTGACAATCATTAAAGATGTCTTATAGTCAAATTAGCGAACCAGTCAATTTTGCAGGATGCAGATTACTCCTTCTTGTAATTGACTTTAAAATTATATTTTATATGCCACAAGAAAAGAAATTGAATTCCTTCAGATCTCCTGGAGCAGGCAAATACGACGACTTCATTTCTAGCTCCAGGGAGATTTTGTAGGCATCCGGAAAAAAAAAAGAAAGAAAGAAAGAAAAAACTTTGAATTGTGCTCTCACTTAATTGAAAAATAACTGCCAAGTTCAAAACTATAATTAGAAAAAAGTATTCTAGTCATTATGTTTCCAGAGCTTAAATTGCACTGGAACTTACATTAAAATTAGAATCAAAGCAAACTTAAGAAAATAGGGCAAAACCTGAAATAAGACAGTTACATGGACATGGACATATCTATATTAATTTGTTGGGGGGGAGAGTTCAGTAGCCCTACTTTTCCTAAAGTTGTCTTTGTTTACATGGCAATTTAAAACGCTGGCACTGTTGAAGTAAAACATACACATTAAAAAAAAAAACTTTGGTCAGCTTTAAGAACTCAAAGCATGCTTACGTTTTGCATTCAGATGGTTAATGAATCCAGTGTTTTTGCAGTTGAAAGCTCGTGCATTCACTGGGCAAAAGCTGGCTGCAGGTTGCAGTGGCACGGCGCAGGACAGACATTAATTATATTTTCCACTTTTTTCAATAATGTTTGGCTACTGTAAGTGCAACTTTATTCTTGAAATTTTTCAATTTTCTGTTGCTTTTAATAGTGAGAACTTTGTGTGGGGCGACGGGGAGGAGGGGAGGAGGGAAGGATGTGCAGGATACGTGTTCTCTACTCAAAAGTTGTGAGTGATTAGTAGGATATGTAACTTGTATCTATTTTAAGAATAATTCTATAGCATTTTACGAGAATATGGAAACATTTTATGAGCAAAACGCAGCTTGCTTGCAAATGAAGAGGCCGCTAGGCATTTGCCTAGAACCACAACCTTTCTCCGGTTTCGCCCTCCAAAAAAAAAATACTGATATTTTTTTCATTCTGGAGGGGTGAGTGGGTGTTCATTTATCTGTGTGTTCCCCCTCGGTGGCCGAGGGGGTTGGGTGGCACTTTCTTGGCCTTGCCGAGGTGGGAGCCCTGAAGTCAGGCCTAGTTCCGGCGGGGCTGAGGTGGCCAGGAGCTCAGGCGATGGTCGCACTCAGGAGGCCGCGGGCTGCAGGGACTCACACCGGCCCTCCTGGCGAAGCGGGCCGTGGGAGCGAGCCGGACAAGGCGCGCGGGGCTGCGGGCAGGGCTCCTGCATTGTGTTGGGCGCGCTTCGGCGCGGCGGTTCGCAAGCCCCCTGGATGCACATTGCCTCTTTTCTCTCTTTCTTTTCGCCAGCGGTTCAGCGAGGAAGAATGCCCCCGACCCAGCCCAATCCAGGCCAGTACGCACTCACCAACGGGGACCCCCTCAACGGCCACTGCTACCTGTCCGGCTACATCTCGCTGCTGCTGCGCGCCGAGCCCTACCCCACGTCGCGCTACGGCAGCCAGTGCATGCAGCCCAACAACATCATGGGCATCGAGAACATCTGCGAGCTGGCCGCGCGCCTGCTCTTCAGCGCCGTCGAGTGGGCCCGCAACATCCCCTTCTTCCCGGATCTGCAGATCACCGACCAGGTGTCCCTGCTGCGCCTCACCTGGAGCGAGCTGTTCGTGCTCAACGCGGCCCAGTGCTCCATGCCGCTGCACGTGGCGCCGCTGCTGGCCGCCGCCGGCCTGCACGCCTCGCCCATGTCCGCCGACCGCGTGGTGGCCTTCATGGACCACATCCGCATCTTCCAGGAGCAGGTGGAGAAGCTCAAGGCGCTGCACGTCGACTCGGCCGAGTACAGC